TAAATATATCGTAAATGAAAGTATTAAAAAAAAAATAATAATAATTTATTCCTGAAAATGAATGGCAGTTTACATACCATCAAGAGTCTGTCCATTATATTTTCTAAGTGCTGTTTCTGCATCTTTTGGGTCTTCAAATGTAACTTCTGCGTTACCCGTACTTCGTCCAGCACGATCATAATGCAAAATAACTTTCTTGACAGAGCCACACTCAGAAAATAGTTCCTATTCGAATAACACCTTAATTAGTTTCTCATATTGGAAACCTAAATTGTATTTACACAACATCAAAATGCCAACCTCAAGGTCATCTTCCGTCACTTCATAAAATAAATTTTCAACAATCAATTTCGCATTATTGTTAGAATTTGATGATGTTCGACGAAAATTTTGGCGGCCATCTTTCGAACGAGCATCCTCGAAAAGATCATGAGACCATTGCTCATCGATATTGCCTTTCGGGGGACGCTACATGTAGATCAATAGAGCATCAGTACCACATAAATTCAAACTTTTAAACTTCTAGCCTACCCTTTTTTGTAGACAAGCGAGATTATATCGTCTATCAACAGAAAGAGTAGGTAGAGCTTATGATCTAAGCCAACTAGAAAAGAATATGGAAAGATCTTTATCACCTGCAGTTCGTAAGGTGCATTCCGAACGTTCCTCACTCGTCCTGTCGTAACGCGCCCTCCCCTACGAGATGCTCTGGAATTTCTTTTCTTTCCCTTCCTATTTGTCTTGCCATACTCATCTAGAGCCATATCTGATGTTCCGTTCATTTAATAACAGATTTCGTTTGGGTAATTAATAATTCAAACGCAGGAGGCGTCTTGTAGTGCTATTTCTTATATCAGATATACAGTATATACAGAAATACTAAACTCTTCCGAATAAGTCCGGACGATCCAAAGTCTCGTGACCATGACGATTATTAATTGGATCTTTTTATATTTTACATCCACAGTCCAGTGTAATTAGTTTTTTCCTTTGTTTAAAAAACTATATAACACAAACGACACTGCATTTTAGACACACATACCTTTTGACCTCAATACTTTTTACCATTTTCTCAAATTTTTCAAACTAGTTGGTTCATAAACTCTATTTCTTAGTTCTCAAAAACATCTTTTAGTTATCATCATGTCCGCTGCAGGCCTTGATATGTCTCTTGATGAAATCATTGCAAAAAAAAAACCTTCGAGAGGAACTAGGAGTGGAGGCCCTACCCGTGGTGGTGGCGTTACAAAACGCTCAAGCGGACCAATTAGAAACACTCGATCTTCACTGGCTAGATCTCGCCCTTACGCCGCAACTTCTACAGCAGCAAACATCTCCGCATCCCCCGAAGGAAAAATCCTTGTTTCAAACCTCGCTTACAAGGTGTCAGAGGCAGATCTTTGGGTAACTATTTAAAAATGTCAAGCCATTATCGGTTGTGCTAAGACAGACACAAAAAGACGAAGAGTTTCTTTCTTTGGTGACAAAGCTGGGGTTTACCTTCTTAACATAAACCTGAAGCGAAAAAGCGACCTTTGTACGAAAATTTTTTATCGTCAACGGCCCTTCTTCGCCTTGTTGCTTTGGTACCTGGAGAATCAGAAATCTTTTCTACAACGTTTTCCAATCCGAACTACCTTATTGCTCCTTCTGAAAACAAACCACCTGACCGCTATCAAACCCTCCACACCCGCACTTCGACACCCCTAATCCCTTTACAACACCAGGAACTCTTCCAAACTATGATCGGTCCTGTACGTCAGGTTAACCTCAACTTCGACCAAAGTGGCCGTTCGAAGGGTACGGCATCCGTCGTTTTTGCGCGAAAAAATGATGCAGTTCGATCGGTTGAAAAACTTCGGAATATCACCCTCGATGGTTCGTAATATATATAAATTACATTTATGCATTTAACGTAATCCTGCCAAACTAATCACTTTATAAATTTATTATTTTTTGTTTATATAGGTCGCGAATTGAAAATTGAATTTGTTGTCGCCCCTAATACAGGTCCTATCACTCAGCGCATCGGTGGTATCAATGAGTAGGTTTCATGAGAACTAAAAGAATTCTAAGATTCATAAATTTTATGTTTACTTTTTTTACACAAACTTCGTATTCTACGTAGAACTCGTTCTCCTGCACGCGGTTCAAGTTCTACGCGCGGTTCAACACGTGGTGCCCGTGGTGGCAGAGGACGCAGAACAGATAACAGACCGAAAAAAACTCAAGAGGAATTGGATGCTGAAATGAGTGAATATATGCAGATTGATGAAGTATATATTTCACCTTTATAATTTTAACTTCATTTCATATATTCTTAGTAACTATATTCCTTCTGTTTTATGTTTATTACCTAGGATTCATCTCAAGCAGCTGATTCCACTACCGCTCCGTTGGCCCAATAAAATATATAATAAATATATCCACAAATTTTCAAACATCTCATCCACGTGCCTATTATCACGTGACCCATGTATCCATAATACGCTAAGTAGAATCGCGTGGTTAGACTGCCTTTGCACAAGGACGTGGGATTTTGCGTAAAACAATGATTTATTTACAAATGTATAACATTTATTGGCCGAAGAAATACCAGACACCTATCTAATAAAATTTTTTATGTTTATGTTTATATAATTAAAGCATAATGCCTTTACAATGCAGTATTTAACGTTCGTTATCATTTTGCCAATTTTACCAATGATCTAAAAAAAAAAAAGCCTTGTTTCATGGCACAAATGAAATAGGTAATCATACATATTCTTTCACAATTAAATTTAATTTCAACAACTAATATATTTTCAAATTAACGCATTAATCTAGTACTGCACTGTCCTTTACAAAATATTATTGTCAAATTCAAATAAGATTTATTTTAGTTTATAAAAACTTTACAATTTTTTAACATTCAAAAATTAATGATAAAAATGTAGAAACTTCGTACACGTAAGGGTCAAAGTATTTGATTAATACCCATGACTCTAATATAGTAACGTTATTATTAAAATAGATATATTAGCAACACTATAAAATAATCAAATAGAAAATAAAACATAATAAAGCTTTATTGTTTGTTGTTAAATACAGTCTAATCTCAATAAACTGTAGTCACTAGTGTTATAAGCAGATTGAGGATTAGTTGGCTTAGTCGACTTGACCAACTTTATTGGTCGATCTTTTGAAAACTCGACTATTACGTATCGGTATTTATGTTACGAAACTTAAGCATATGTCGCATGTGAATTCGGATCTAGTTTCTTGCATATTGAATTTTTTTGATCGATTGATTGGTCAAAAATCATTTCTAAATTTAATTTTTATTACTTGGTTAACTAAGCCTTTTTATGCCGATTTTGTAACAGTGATTTAGCTAGTTAAATAGTTTTTGATAATAAAGAACTTTTATTAATAGTTATTTATATGTAAAAAAATAAACCAAATAAAAGAGTAAATGTTATTGTATATGTGGGTTTGATCTGCTATTCCAATACTTATAAATTCACTATAATAGTTAATAGTTGCTTGAATTTTATCTAAATAATTGTTGCCAAGAACTATATTATATTTCTTCGATTTAGTTATTAATATATTTATATGTATTGCCAAGTAAAATATTTTTAACTTGGCCAATAGAAGTTAATTTGTTACTAATAATATCTACAATTCTAATATTACTTGGTTTATCTATATTATGATTTATTTGATCAAAAAAGTATTTAGCAACAATATATTCTTTTAAGCTACTTTACAAAAACCTGTAAAAAATTGATAATGGGTTTAAAACTAGCAAATAATATTTTTAAAACATGTTTAAGGGTAGGGTATACGTAGATTATTTTTCATATGATCTACATAGTACATTAGATTTTTACATAGTAATAAAAAAAATGCTTCTAATTAAACCTTTTAATATCTTGGCTAATTTGTATCAAATTTACATGATATGTAGCTTAAAATAGGTTGTTTATAATAGTGAAGTTGTGCAATATATATTGTTTTAAAAAAAAATCAACTTCACATATAATTAAAGTTTTTCTAAGTCATTATTTGTTTTTTCAAGGTAATACAAAGATCTGCTAATTCTGATTTGTCAAATCACATGTTGTTTATATGTAAATCATATAATACGTACCATATGATATTAGTTATATAATATTAATCTACTAGTGATGTTATCCAAACCTAGTAATTTGAAACTTAGTAAAATCTCAAAAGTTTTTACCAAATTTTACAACTATGTCACAACTTAAACAATATTTGACATGTTTCAAATTAAAATATAATATCAAATTAAATATAATATTTTAAATTATATTTGTTATATGCTACTTAAAGATATATATGTATATATATATAGTGTAAATTAGATTTAATAATATATAGAATGTAAATACTAAATTTATAAAATAAAAGAACTGAAATATTAACTTAGATGGTTAATAAGATATTTTTAAATTTTTACAATTTTATAAGATATTTAGTAAAATATTTAGTAAAAAATTTATTATTACTTAAAAGTTCAAATTATATAATTGTTACTAAAATTTCTTAAATAATATTCTTATAAACATATAAGCAAATTACAAAATATTAGTATCAAAAAATTAATGTTTATTTGTTACAATAGCAGCTAGATCAAAATCTATATTGCTACTTTTCTGTACAATTGAAATTATTTTTTTAATACTATTTTGTTTGCCAAAAGTAGTATATAATAAATTAACAATAAATCCAATTTCAAGTTTTTTATTTTGATTATACATTGCATAATTTTCTTTATTTTTCTTAACAGTTGTATTATGATTTTCATTTATTGTATAAGTTGTTAAACTTAATGCACTATTATATAAATTATCTTTAAATAAATCTTTTTCATAAAATAAAAACTCTTTTTTAAAATTAGAAATATAAAATAAATAAATTTGAGCTATATCTTCAATTTGTTCTACTAATAATTATGTTTTATAAGACCCAAGTAACCATTGTAAAATTAAAAATTTATATTTACAATTGGTTTGTGAATGCATAATTGCAAAAATAGCTTGTACAAGATCTTGCAAATAGGCATAATTATCCTTAATAATATCTTATTACAATTGTGATATTTTTGATGAATCAAATTCAAAATCAAATAGATTATCTTTTTTTTTTTTTTTTTTTTTTAAAAAAGAGATCATTTTCTCGTTCCTTTATTTCATGTTAATATATGATTTACAATTTCTTATAAATGATATATTGATCTTTTATGGAAGGGGGAATAGATAGGGTTGCATCGGTCCGGTCCGGTCCGGTCCTTAGCAGGACCGATTACATAGTAGCACCGGTCCGGTCCGGTCCGGTCCGGTCCTTAGCAGGACCGATTACATAGTAGCACCGGTCTGGTCCGGTCCGGTCCTTCGGTCCTAAGAACGGTCCTTGGTAACACAAGCTGTGATTGGTCAATTATACAGTATATAT